ACAAGAAAATGAACACCTGCATCCGTATTTCTAAACTTTCATCAAGTGGGGATTACAAGAACAAGAGCAATTACATACACTCCTAGAGGAAAACTTACTTTTGATTCTGTTTGAAAACTTGTAAGTATACTAATAGCAATTTCCCTAACACCAGCAGACAATAATTTAAAGAAAAAATAAATTAAAGCTAATTTGTATATCCCCCCAGATGGGAATGAAAAAATTAGGTTTAATCTCAATGCACTCCTGATGTGCAAAGATTTTATGTAAATAACTGTCTTAGTTATTTCTTAGTTATCAACTTAGTTGAGCCTATTATCTGTTTCATGCTCTCCCTTCTGGTGGTGCCTCTGAAGCCTCATTTCCTGAGGCTGAGAGGACAGAAGAGTTCGAACCTGTTCCTGTGCCCTGACTGCTTTGTTGGGTAGCAAATACATTGTATCCAAATTAACTGCAATAAGAATTAATTGCTGTGTCCAATTTGCACATCTTTTTGTGTTTCAAACATCTGCTTTAAGTCTGGTATAGCATATGTAGTGATTTATTTTTTTTATACACTATATTGAAATCCGCAGTAAGACTTTCAAGAGAAAGTCCAGTGACAAACAGAAAAGGAAATAAATGATTCTGTGTGTTGCAGCCTACTATCAAAAATGTTGACAGAAAATGATGAATTTACTCAGCTTCTCCTGTTGCGCAGGGTTTTAAAACCATCATGGCGTGAATTTAAAAACGTGTATTATTTGTCTAATCATATAGTTTAGGATTAAGCACAGAAGCTTTGAATATGATACAGCTGTATGAAAAACAGTCCTTTAGCCCCCCATGACTTTGAGTTTTGTGAAACTAATTTTAAAAGGTATCACACTAAGACTTTTATCCCTACTTTTAACTTCTTTTGCAGATAAAAACTCAAGCCAGAGGTACCAGCAGGAATTGTGTCATGAGAAATGAAGACTTACCCTGACCTAATGATACCTGACACACAGCAAAGCAAGATTTGTAAAAAGCATTTCCCTGTGCAACCCCTTTTGATTCCATTGAAAAGTTCCCAGCATTGACAGCCTTTCCCAAAATTACACGCAAGATTTAGTCAGGCATTTTGCTCCATGTGCAAGCATCACATTTTTCAAAACCACACCAAGAGCTGTCATTATTACAAAGGCACAGTAAACTGTCTTTTGCAACTTTAAGTGTTAACAGAGACCAGCTCAGACAAAATGCTGTATTTAATTGCATAGTTATGCAAAGTTCTGAGACAGCAATCAATGAAAAAAGGATGAAACTGCATCTGCAAATCCAGTACAGACTGAAAAGAGAGGCTGATTGGAACCTTTTTACTGTAAACCAAAACTATTTGAAACCAAGTACTGTAAGCAGATTTACGTATTGATCTTTTGGTAGCTGTGTTCAGAAGAAATTAATTTTATGCTAGATTAAGAGGTTACAAGAAGTTTCCTGTCTGCACAGTCAAAATATTGTTGAAGCAATTCAGGTTGTCAGTAAAAGCTTAAACAAATTTGCTGATAATCCTGTTAATGACCTAGGTCAAGTGTTAACTGTTGTGGGTTATAAAACAGTGAAATTAAGGTTGCTGGTACCCTCAGGCAGGCAATATAGTTACATAAGAGACCGAGGAAAAATTATTAAATTAAAGAACAATAAAATTAATTTGATCTCTTGATACTGTAGGAATTATTCAGAAAAAATTTGCATCCTTCTAAGGAAAAAACCACAACCCTCACTAAGCGGAAAATGGAAGAGGAGAACATGTGCTTTCTGTGCACCTACGTGGTTCAGTTTCCAACTTCAAACTGAAAAAAAGTTGGATGTCAAATCTTCCTGACATTTTCCTGCCTCGCTGAAAATGGCACACACCTTCCCAGTGCACACAGATAAATCCGAACTTCACAGAACCCTCCTGAGCTCCTGTGACTGTGCAGGTAAAATTCACGCAGCTTTTTGAGGAGCATGGCAGAGAGAGTTTAAAAAACAAATTCAGTGCAAAATGTTACATTCCGTCAAGAAAAAAACTCTAAATAAAACTTGTCCGGGATGAAGCAAATTAACAAAAACTCAAGCACTCCAAGAAAAAGAGAAAAAAGGACTGCACTGAACACCACAAAATGAAAGAAGCCAACAACTTGCCTTCAGTCCCTCTTTCATCCTTTCCTCCCTTCATCCCATCCACTCCCATTGCAGTATTAGGACTAACTCAGTTTTAATAATCAATTGCAAAAGTAAACTAAATTTATATTTAAAAAAGAGAATTATTTCTTTCAAATAAAATAAATTTAGGAAATATTTCTGATAGCTCTGAACACGCTCTTGTAATGTGCCTACTGCAACATTTACATCCCCTAGAAGTTAGACAAAGCTACATAAACACACCAAAAGATTAGTTCCATCCTTTTAAAAACAATCTATGAGGAGAATTTCAACAATAGCTTTAATATAAAATATAGGGAAAATAGGTATACATTTTTATCTACACACCTTTATTAACAGTCTCTGTCCAAAATATACCTTTTTTCGTTCTCAGTGGTGAAGAAAGGAAACTTTTCTAAATACCCCAGAGAAATGCGGAAACATCTATCTCTAGTTTTGAGAGGAAATTTCTGGTAAGAACAGCAGGAAAGTAACTGTAGTGATTAGAAAAAAATTATTTAATACAGAGAAACATCATCTTCTGACATGATTTAGAGCTGCATGCTAACACTTGTTCATCAAATTAGTGGGTCAGCAAATCATAATAATTCAGATTTCTAAATTCACATGATCAGCCTAAATACACTGTAAATAGATAAAAGAATTACTGAGCTTTCCTAAACAGGGGTAAAAAAAAATTAAAAGAAAAAAAAAAGAAAAAAAAAAAAAAAAAAAAAAAAAAAAAAAAAAAAAAAAAAAAAAAAAAAAAAAAAAAAAAAAAAAAAAAAAAAGAAAAAAAAAAGAAAAAAAAAAGCCCTTTAAAAGTTGATTTCTTTTTTAAAGAAACTGTCAGTATTCCTGGTTTTGAAAGGCACAGCAAAACACATGCTTCAAAAAAAGTAGCCATACAAAAGCAGGTTACTCTTCTGGTAACTGCATTTATACTGTTGTTTTCACCATCTATTTTGAAAATATTGCTCATATTGTACAAGCTCTTGAAGCTGAAAAGAGAGAATGGAAGCAGTATTTGCTCAAAGCTGACTTGGACAAGTGTGTTTAACGTGCATTCCCTATGATACCAATTTTTTTCCCCTCCTTTCTCAATTCTCAGTGCCAGTGACTTTAAACACAGAAACAAAGTGGTTATTTTCTCTTTTTTTTTTTTTTTTTTTTTTTTTTTTTCACAAACTGGAAGGCTCTAATATCTTTTTGGCTTAGTTAGTCTCAGTTTACAGAATGTGCCTGTCTGCCACTGCCATGGAGGCAGAGCTGCTCCGCTGACTGACAGAACTACAACCATTCCCAAAAAGCTTTTAATAAGACAACAGTAACCCCTACTAACACTCTTGTTTTCATTTCTGAAAATAATTTGTAAGAGATGACAATATTTACAAAATAACATATATCCGGGGGGCTTAAAAGTGACTATTGAAAGCGCACTCTTTTAAATAAGCACTGTATATAAAACGAATTTCCATAAACTGCACAAACAGATGACATATTGCTCTTCTACTATAATGGTACCATGATTACTTCCTACCAACGAAACCAACTGATTAAAGATTACCGAGGACTTGTAAAGTTTTCATCTTTTTATTCTATTTCTTTCCCCCCCCCAGAAATCATTTAAAGTTGTTATCTCACCGCCTTATCCCACAAGCACCCAGAATATCAATAAGTACATCAGCATTACTTGTACAGGAGAAATAATTGCTCTAACAGCTTTGATATCTGCTTCTCTGCACAAACACTACAGCTTGAGAAGGTGCACGTTTTACATGGTTGTTGGATGCTAGGAGTTCTTTACAACCTTTGGCCTCTAGATTTTATCCCTAAAGATAATTACACTGGACATCCTGGTCAAGCCAAGTGCCCTCACTGTGCAAGTAAGCAAAAACTCAATTTACTTTTTTTTATAATAGGAGAAAGTCAGTTTTAATTATTGGTTTAAGTATTTAAATAATTTTTTTCAGTGTCTAGTTGTCATTTTTTTTCCCCTGAAACATAACATGCATTTTCAGCAAATGTCATCTTATAAACTAGCACAGCAAAAGAGAACAAAAACCACTCATGCTTTGTTTCTGCAAATTCACACACATTGACATACACGCGCACAATTTCAACGCATTAATACGAGCTGATAAAAATCTGATACAAATAACACAAATAACACCATCTGATACAAAACCGCTATACGGGACCAAGAGGAGGTTTTACAGGGAAGCCAGCTTCGATTCTTTTTCTGTATTAATTAAAAGTTTTGAAAGGCAGGACGACTAATGCAACCACATGCGAAAGGGCTCACAGGCTCGCGGGGTGAGGGACACGGGGGCACCCCTTAGCCTTTACAGCCGGTTCCTACCGCTGTCAGCTCTCAGCTGTTGGAGGATGGAGCAGGAGGGCACCTGCCGGGGCTGGGATGCTCCGGCTCCCGCTACGCGGTGGCACCGCGGCCGCTCCCGGCGCTGCCCCTTTCCCTCCCCGCCCTCTGCCCACCTCGCCTCCGGGCTCCTCGCTGCCCATCGCCCCCGCTGCCGGAGAGCCGGGGGGCGCCACAGCCTGCCCTGCCCTCGCCAACTTTCCTCGGGGGGCGGGTGGGGCGGCCGGCACCTCCCGCCCGGCGAGCCCGGCGGTCCCGGGGGCGAGGAGGGGATGCCACCCGGGACCACCTTAAGGGCGAGCGGGAACGGGGAATAACAGATCAAAAAGAATTAAAATAAATAGGAAAGGGTGGATGGAGGGACGGGAGAGCAAGAGGAAAAGGGGGAATGGAGGAAAGGGAGAGCAAGAGGACAGTGGGGATGGAGGGAGAGTAAGGAAGAAACGGGTGACCCAGCCGTGCCGCGGCTCACCTTCGTTGCCGGGGCGGGCGCTCAGACGCGCGGCAGCGCCGCGGGCAGCACGAAGTAGCAGCAGCAGCAGGAGCAGCAGGAGCAGCGGCGGCGGGCGGCGGCGGTCCATGTCCATGTCGACAGGCAGAGCCGCATGTCTCCGCGCCGCATGCCACCGCTCCGCGCCCGCTCCGCGCCGCCGCTGGGACCGGGAGCGGGGCCGGGAGCAGGAGCAGGGCCGGGACCATGCCCCGCGCCCGCCTTCGCGCTGCGCCCGGGAGGGGCCGCCCCCGCCCGGCCCCGCCGCCGCCACCGCCCCGGGCCCGGCGCCGCCCCCGCCCCGCTCCGCCCACCGCGGGGGGCGATCGGGGCGGGGGAAGGCGGCTGTGGAGCGGTGCGGGTGGCGGTGCGTGCGCGGCGAGGGGACGGGGGCAGATCGCGGATCCCGGGCTGAGCCTGCCCGCCCCCACCCTGTGCCCGCAAGGATGCCCAGGCACACGCGGCACGTAGCGGGGTCGCTGCCAGAGGCGGTGGCACGAGTCACGTAACTCGGAAGCCTCGGGTGGGTGCTTTAGCCGGCTATCATGTCCAATTACCGGCCTTTCCCTAGAATGAATGCGACTGCAAAGTAGCGGTGAAACCCTTCGGAGTTTGAGGCTGCAGCCATAGCTGGCTTGCTAGAAAAATGCAGATTCTATCGTTCATCTCTGTGCTGCCCACGGTGACTCTACTCCTGCCTGGACTATAATTCTGGCCCCAAAGAACAGACTTACTGTGACCTCATTTAAGCAAACTGGAGCCCTCACAAGAACAAACTGGTGGCAGGGGTCTCCTCCCAAGCGCTGCTCTCTGTAGGGGTGTGCAGCTTTGCTCTGTAGGGTGTGCAGGTTTACTCGAGAAGTTACCATGTAAAGCGAGCGTTTCAGCAGCATTCTCTGCATGTCTGCACTCACCTCCAGTCCTCTCAGCCCAGCACAGGCCCCAGAGTACCTGTCAGAACAGTACTGCTATCCCACTGCTCCCAGGGGGAATCACTGCAGAGCAGTGCTTCCCAAGCTTCCCCTTCTGAAGATTATTTTTTTCCAGAATATGGACATCTTTCCCAAGTGACTCATCTTAAGTCTCCAGAGCCACCCAGTGTGGTTCTGTGGAAATGGGAAAATATTTGAATAATACTGAAGTCAAATAAATATTTCACTCCAAACCCAAGTTGTGCATTCACGTAGCACAAGGTCTTGCTCTGAATGCCTGTGCTGTCTGGAAAGACAGCAAGCAACAGGCCAGGAGGAAAGCAGTTTTGGCAGCAAATGTGGAATGACATCGCAGAATTAACATCCAAAATCTTTGATACCACAGTGACTGAACCCCTATGCTTCTCAAATCATATCTGAACAACCTTCCTCTTGATTGTCCTGTGTGTCCTTAGGTCCTTGGGGTCATCAGTGCCAGCAGGACAGCTGAGAACTGCTGCCCATGGGATAACACTGCTGCACAGCACTGCCAGCTCCCTTCAGCAGTGATGCAGCTTTCCCGCCACCCCCCTGGCAGCAGAAGAGGAGGTGCTGGACTGGTTGCAAGGCAGGACCTATGCCAAGGTCTCTCCTGCCCAGTGTTGGCATTCCCCAAACGTCTGGTTTAACTCTGCCAGGTTTACACTGCACTAAGCAAAGGAGAGGGAAGGCTGTGAGAATTCAATCTCAGGTACTTATTTCAAGGCAACACAGTGGAGGACATGAGCATTAAACATTATTAAAGAGAAATTAATTTCCTTTCCTGTTTCCAGGCTTGATTATTCAATCAATCAAATTAGGGAATCATCAAACCTAATATCATCTGTTTCATGTCTCCAACCCTTCCTTTCACTTATACTTATATTTACCATATATTTCCTCTGTGGTCAAACTTCCAAAAGGAGAAAGAGATGCCCAGGGCTCTTGAGCAGGCACCTCCAGGGGCAGAGGGAGGAACAGGGTTGTCTGGTCATACAATTAACAGTGTATGGCCTAGAGATGGACACTCCCTGTCCTCCTTTGCCTTCCTCAAGGCTCATTTCACTAAAACATTTCAATCTTTTGACAGAGATGCTTTTCCACAGCAAAAGTCCACTGATATATATACACTGATTTCCCCAAAATGTCACCCTCCCTAGTAATAAAAACTATCTTAGTTCAAAGTTGGGGTTTTTTTGCAAAATTTTACCTCAGCTTTTTTTCAATGAAAACAAATGTTTTCATTGAGTTCTTTTGTACAGCAGAGGCAAGTCTGCTTTTCAAAGCACTACTAAGTTCTCAGAACTACTAGTTTTGGTCTCTGTGGAGCCACATCTTTCTTTCACGACTTCAGATATTTTTTTTAAGGGAGGAAAAAAAGGTGAAAGAAAAAGGGTGAAGAATGATAGCAAATTTTGGGGCTGGGGAGGCAGTGGCGAGTGGAGAACAACAGTGACAACAACCAAACCAAAACCCAACAAATTTCTGTTTTCAGTTAGTGGAAAAAACATTTCTAAAGAAGAGAGATTTTGGTTTTCAGTTTAAAAACACAGTTTACAGTTTACACACGGTTTCAGTGTGTAAAACTGTGTGTTTTACACACAGTTCTATGTACATAAAACATCTGCACTTTCCAGCTGCAGTATCTGATTCTGCTCTTGCTCCTGCTCTGGGAGTGGGAGATTGAGCACCCATCATGGTTTTACCCCATAACAGTGATTTGCTGATGCAGGAAAAGCAAAAAAAAGGAGAGGTAACCACATTCCACTGCCTAATCTTGGGTTTATGTGGTGTCATTTTCTACAAATCCAAGCCAAAAAAAAAAAAACAACAAAAAAAAGGGTAATGTTATCATTAACTCCTTCGCTGGTTGGCTGTAAAAAAACAAAGGATGGATATCAGAAATAGTTATGCTTCTTTTTCCGAGATAACTATGTGGTTACCACGTAAAGATAATATTGTGGGGTTTTTGGGTTTTTTTTAAAGGACATAGAAGAAGGAAGGAGAGGAATAAATTAAAATCCATCCAGTAAACACCAGATTGTCAATTCCCAAGTCTGCCTCATGATAGCATCCATGCACACACACATGCAAACACACAGATTTTGGGTTGGTTTCACCATCCCTGCCTCAAGGTGTGTTTTTCAACCTTCTTTTCTCCTTGTGAAGATTAGAAATGCTCTTCTTAGAAACAAATTAAAGATGAGATTTTCATATCATGTTGTGGACAGCTCATAGCTCTGTAACAAGGGGCAACATGGATAATACCCAAACACTAAAGGTGAACTCTGCAGAATCTTTTCTCCAGATCAGAGAAACATTGCTTTAAACAAATATTTTGAGATTACTCATAGTAATCACATTCTGAATTTTTAAATATCTTAGCACCAGTGAATTCATCTCATACAGGAAGAATATTAAAAAATGCAATCTACATAATGCAAATTTTTAGTATCAAACCTCAAAGAAAGAAAACCTCTCAAGCTAAAAAAAATGAATAGCAGAAATATTTGGAGGAAATTTGAAATAAAGAACACATTTTTAAAAGCTGCAGGTTCTGGGAAAATTCTCAGCAGGAAAGAAAGATAAAATTCATTACAAATTTCTCACTCTGCTTTTTTCTTTGTGACAAGCATTATGTTAGTTTTGTGCAAATTGCCTGTTTACTCTATTAAGAGTAATTTTCTGTGAGCTTAAAGGGCACCTTTGAAGAAAGAAAATAGCCTCTAGTGGCATTTCTACATAACCAGAGTGCACATGGTAATATCTTTGCCCTAGCATCCATAAAATCATTCTAGAGAAACACATAACTATGATTTATGATTTTCTGCCAACCCTGGACTTTAATTTCTTTAATATATTAAAGATCAAAATCCTTACTAAACACAAATTTTATCTCTTACATTTTTCTTTTGTAAACAGGGAAGTGACACATTCTGTGATTGCATAATGGAAAAAAGAAATCATAACACATGGGCAGAATGCTCCAGATCTCACGTTTGCATACTAAATAGGAAAACAACTTTCTGCCTAATGAAAAAATGTTACAGATTATTAGGAATGGCCACAGAAGTAATCAATCAATTTATCCAATGGACTGGGCCACAGTCTGCTTCCAAGAAGCTTTTTAATGTTTATGGCTCTTGAGTTGCATTGTTTAATTAATTGAATGACATGAAACTTCTAATCTTGTAGGTTTGAAGATAAAGTATTCTCCTTAAAAACAAACAAAAAGAATTAATGATGGGTTCACCACTCATAAAGAAAGGTGGCCAGACAATCCTCCATTTACTGGGGGAGGAGGCACAGCAGAACAATGCTCCCCATCCATGGGTGCCTTTGCCTGTGACTCCATGGGATTGTTTGGAGGCGTGAGAACATTTCCCCCTCAATTTCTGATACTTATTTATGAAGGTTCTTGTTTGTGATGTTGTTATACCCCCACTGAATCCCTGTGCTGACAGAACTTCTCCACATAAATCATACCAGGCACAGCTTTTCAAAATTGTTCAGTAATATTTAGGCCTCCAAACAACCCCTTGAGGATATGCACACACACATATATATATATATACATATCTATCTGCATATCTTTAAGACTGACTGTTGAAGTGTTGAGATAAAGTTATCATAAATGGAAGCATTGCTGCTTGTCTTCGTCATAAAGCAGCAGCTTGGCATGGGCCAGTCTTGGAGATGGTGACCAAGGAGGAAGAACCCCCCTAAGAGCCACCAAAGAGGTAGATTTACTTGCTTTAATTATTCTTTGGGAGACATTTTATGACATAACCCAAAGGTCTCCCAATGTACAATGTCGCCCTGAAAATGAAAGCAGATGAGAAAATGCAGGATGTGGAAGAATAAAAGACAGGATGCAATAAAAACAAGTGATAAATGAACTGTGAAAAGTTACTTTAAATAAGTAATTTAAAGCTAAGCTATAGCTCTTTCCAATCAATACTTACATAATAATTACACGGAAATCCAGAAAAATGGATTAGCTAGACAGCATAAGCGACTCAGCTTTGAGCAGCAACAAAGCTGAAATTGTAATTATGAAGCAACTGCACACCAATTCCATAATGAAAAAAGTATGACTTATTATGGAGATGGAATACAGTAGAAAAGGATGCAAAATGCAAATGCAGTTTAGTTGCAAATTTTCCCCATAAAGTCTGAATCATTTGTTAAGTATGCAATAAAAAGGTGACACTCCAAGCACTTTGACTGAATTTGCCTATCTGTAAACAAAAATCTA